ATACCGTGTGAAGTACAAAAGACTGAAAATTCACTATTCTCAAATTCAGGACCATGATCACTCCTAATTCTGGTTATGTGAAATCCTTTTTCATTTTCAACTTTAAGGCAAAGAGTTTTAAAGGCAATGAAGGTATCAGATTTCTCACGCAAAAAATCAACCGAAGTGTGGCGAGAGAAATCATCTACGCACACGAAAATATACTTCTTACCTTGATAGCTCTCAATCTGAATTGGTCCATCAAGTTCATGTGAAGCAACTCCAGAACTTGCTTTGAAGCAATAGGGTTCAGGCTTTTGTGTGAAGCTCGCGTTTGCTTTCCATGTTGACACGGTTCACAAATTGGTAGCTCCTTCATGACAATTTTTGGAACTCCGCGAACCACGCTTGCATTAGATATATTGACCAAGTAAGAGTATCCAATATGACCTAAGCGTTGATGCCAGATTTCAGATTCACTAACAGTTACATGAAAACATTTTTCATTAAGTCAACAAGATAGCAATTTTCAGTTGATCGAGATCGAGTAATAACGAACGTACCTTCATTATTTTTCACAAAACACTTACGCGAGAAACTGACACTTAGACCTTGATCACAAAGCTGGCTCACACTCAGAAGGTTAGCATTTAAATCATTCACAAGCAGCACATCATCTAATCTAGGAAGACCTCCCAAGTTCAAGCAACCCGTTCCAATTACCTTGTTGCTCACACCATCTCCAAATGTGACTTCCCCATTGGAACCAGCTTTTACATTCGACAAGTATGCTAATTCACCAGTCATGTGTCGTGAACACCCACTATCAAGATACCATTTTCCTTCAAGTGAGGTTCTGAGATACAGTACTGAATCGAAACATTTAAAACAATTTTTAGCAACCCAGACTTGTCGTTTTTTGAAAACATTTTTATGGGAATTTACAGCATGAACGTTCACAGGTACACAGAAAAGATTCTAGTTAAACACTTTGCCAGTATAAAGATCATGCTGCATCTTGTAGCATTTGGGTCTGATGTGACCAGTTATGCCACAGTAATGACAAATGGGTACAAACTTACGAGGAGATTTACTTACAGATTCACGGGTTAGTGCAAGAACGTTCACTGAGATTTTAGGTGAAGAAGGTTAACTTACAATGCTTTTGACAAACCTGCCATACAATTCTCTCGAAGGTTTTCCATGAAGGCTTGTACCTTCAACACCGGATTTGTTAGAGAATCCTAGACCAGGATGTTTCTTTCTGTTTGAAGCTTCAGAAGGACGTTCAGGACTCTCAACCTTCCCAGTGTACCCAGCCCAGTGAGCTCACCATACTGCCTTCCCATGGAAAGTAGTTCATTCAAATCCGTTTTCCCCTTATTTAGTTTCCCAACAGCTTCAATAGTGCGTTGCAGTTCAGCCGATTTCACACTAAGCTTATTTTCCAGATTTGCGTGTTCGTTCGTGATTCGGCTGAGTTCATTTCTGAGCTTCAAGATGTCCTTGTTTCTATCAGCAAGTAGTTTTTGGATTGAAAACAGTTCAGACCTCAGACATTCAATCGTCTGAGACTTCTCCAGTCCATCTTGCTTAGATAGTTTGACGCTGCTTTCAAGAATGGAGGTTCTAACCTTTGCGGTGTCCTGCTCATTCTCCTTTTGATAGGTAAGAAAAGAGGAGGACTTGTCCATTAACATCCTATTCGCTTTGGTCAGTTTCTGAACCTCACTTTGAAGCTTCTTCATAGCCTCAGATGCTTGTGTGCATTTCTCCATGGCTAACAAGTGAACTGGATCACTACACACGTTGCAGTGGCTTCATCCTCTGATGTTTCAGATTCTTCCATGCCTTATTCAAACTTTTTCATGGCATGAGAGGTAGTGAGACACATAAACTTCTTTACAGAAGAATGAATTGACATGTTGCTTGTGTTTGAAGAAGGTTTGTCTGTTCCTTCGTCATCTGAATCTTCCCAAGTGGCCTTAAGTGACTTACTCTTCTTTTTTAGATTGACACATTCATACTGAAAATGCCCAAATCCACGACACTAACGGCACTGCTCCTTCGCAATTCTCTGAAAGCTCTCAAGAACCGGAAATCGTAATCTTCTCTCTGAATCTAGGTGCAACAGTCCGCATAATCTTTTGTACTTGACGATTTTCAGAGATCTCTTCTCCTAACATTCGACTTTGATTTACCAGATCACAAATATGGCATAGTACATATCGATCGTTTCTTCATCCTTCATTCTAATTTCATCAAACTCAAGGGTTACACGTTGAAGTCTCGATGCTTTGACTGCTGTTGAACCTTCAAACTGACGTTGTAGAATCCGTCAAGCGTCTTTCACTGTCTTGCATTGAACAATCATCTTGTGTCTACTCTGATCGACTGCCATCATGATAGCGTACAAGGCTCGATAGTTCGCTTCTTCTTGCAGTTTTTCAGCGTCAGTCCAGAGGACTTTTGGTTTAGGTACAGTAGCCGATGAAGATTCTTTCCCTTGGTCTGGGGCAGCCGCCGTGACTAGATGTTCCCAACCATTTTCAACACTTTCCCAAGCTCTTTTTCCCAGAGATCTTAGAAAGATCGTCATCATTGATTTCCAGTAGGAATAATTTGAACCATCCAATTGCGGAGGCCATGACATCGATCCACTTTCTTCATTCATGATCACCCAATCCACACGTCCTTAGATTTTTCGCAAAGTATACGAAAACCCGCTCTGGTGCCAATTGGAGTTTCATACTTGTATCCCAAGTATTCAGAGTTACACACGATTAAGCTAAATAAAATAAAACGAAGATTCAAATGAATTGCGGAAGCAGTATAAACAAATTTGAACCTTCATGAGAGCGTCCCACTCTCCCTTCGGATCTCTTTCTTTAATGCAATCAACTCACTCATTCTTCAAGGGTTTACAGTATAGACTCCCTCTACACTCTACGTGAACAATGAATTACACAACTACTTATCCGACCACAAATCCCTTGTGGTTTTCTTCACGTTTGACCCCCTCAAACTATATCAGAATGAACCTCCGAACACTCTGTATTTTATCTCTTTTTACAGTAATCTTCCTCACATACAAAATCACTCAAATTAATAAAAAATCAAACACTCACGATCAATCGTCCACTCACTTAAGAAAATTAAGAATGTAAAAAGTACTCCTCAATCGTTGTCCTTTTATCCTCATCCTCATATGGTAAGTTCTTCGCTGCCAAGTCATGTCAACTTATGGAAAGTCCGGATTTGCACAACCAAATCATGCCCACATGGAATGTAATTCTCGACCCCTTTATTAGACCTGCCATAATAAAACCTTCATGAGAATAAACCAATAAACGAAATGAACAAAACTTAATCTAAGTATATTTAGACAGACTTCCCTTAATTATCTCTTTGATGACTGATCCTGATAACAGAAGAAGGTTCGTCGATTTACTGCCAATACTCAGAACTTACAAAATCAAACTAGTCTAATGAGTGAAAGAATACAAAAAGAAATAAGTTGGCGAATGGAGTTGGGGAGAAGTTGGTTTATAAAAACACCAAAAATAGCGCACAGTTCGAGGAGAGGCTGACAAATTGGAAACTTAAGACTCAACTCGTTTGGGGAATAATGTACCCATAGTCGGCAGGTAAACCAAAGCGATCGAAGAACTCTTGAATCAAAGCATGATTGGCTCAAATAAAGTCACTCGGTTGACAAACAGAGGCAAGTTAGCCTGGGGAATCAGGTCGAGGAGGAGACTCCATCTCGATCTCCTCGTCGGTGGCATCATTTTCAACTTCAGGATGAGGTCGACGGCTGGAAGTCGGACTGACTCAAGAGGCTGAGAAGGCAGTCTGGCACGGAGGGGCAAAATAAACGGGATAGGTTGAAATACTGAGTCATTCTCTTCCTTGCAGTCAGGCTCATCGACCAATTTAAGAGGTCGACCCGAAGGACGGGTAGGAGCAGACGATTGGTTAGGGCGAGAAGATGGAGATGAGGTCGTCAAAGACAGAGTAGGGATTGTCAAAATTGGAATTGGTTGTAGAATGACATCAAGGGAAGGGGTAGGATAAGGAGTGAGCGGAGGCCAGGAGGTGGAAGAGGACGAGGGAGGAGTCATATCCTTGCCGGGGAATTCTTGGCCTCACTGTAGGTGGCAGAATCTAAAAAAGGAAAAAAAGAACAGGAAAAAACTTTGGTTATTTCGGAGAAGAGAGAATGAGAAAGAGGAAAGTTGCAGTCGACGAATTTGGGGAGGAAGAAACATAAAAGAAAAACAACATCAAGCATGCAAAATTAAAATATAGGATATTCACTCTTCCTTGAAATTGGGGTTAGTCGCTTGGGAAAGTTGCAGAAAGTGGCAGAGTGCAATGGAACATGCGAATCTCTGGG